TATCCTTAGGTGCGATCGCAGGTGTGAATACATTTAATCTTTGTAAACTTTCCATCTCTTTTTCCATAGCTAGTTCCCATTTTTCTCTTTCTTCATGTGGAAGTTTCAATACTTCTTCATATGTATTAGGTGTTATTTGTTCTCCATTCATATGCATTATGTAATCTTTGTATTTATTTGGTATTTGGTTTCTATTGTTTCTAATAGTTCTTTCAGGCTTGCTATGGTTATCATGCAAATATCTAGCTTCCTTTTTTGTTAATGTGTCTGTCTTTATTTTATGCTGACTATTAGTCCAAGTTTTGGTTTTGTTCTTACTTTTGTTAATATTTTGATTTTCTGTTGTTCCTTCCTCGCAAGATATCGTATCTTTACATTTATTAGGAAATATTTCATTAAGGTGCAATTTTGACCAATTGGCCTGTTCATGGAACACAGCTGTTCTGGATACTATAAATTTGTTATTACTATCAATAAATCTGTACCCTTTGGTTCCAGTTTCGTATCCCATGAATCTTAATCTCCTGGATACGTTTTCTCCCTTTCTCCTCAATTGTTTAGGTATGTGTACGTCTGCAGTGACTCCAAATATGTGCATGTGTGATAATTTGGGTTTTCTATTGTACATCACCTCATATGGTGTCTTATTCACAATACTGGACCAGGTTCTATTTTGAGTGTAATTTGAATAATGTAATGCCTCTGACCAAAATTGTTTGCCTAAACCAGCATCCTCTAATGTGCACCTAATCATGGTTTGTAGTGTGGAATTTTTCCTCTCTGCAACTCCATTTTGAAATGCAGAAAAAGGATTGGACGTGAAATGTAACATTCCTCTATCCTTTAACCATTGGGAGAATTCTTTAGACATGAACTCACATCCCCTATCTGTCATAATTTGCTTTATTCTGATATTATGTTGTGTTTCTATACGTTTGTAGAATTCCTTAAATTTCTGAAATGTTTCATCCTTGTGCTTTAATGTGTAAACAAAACCATATCGGCTGTAGTCATCCACTATTGTTAGGAAGTAACGTTTTCTATAGGTAATTGAGGGACTTAATGGACCAACTAAGTCCATATGTACCAAATCAAAAATATTGTTAGTTGATCTGTTAGATTTTTTTGGTCTGGGACTGGTTTTTAGTTTGGTGGATTTACATACTGAGCATTCCAAATAATTTTCACAATTTTTTATTTTGACACCTTCTGCGTGTTCAGTCATTTTTTGTACTACAGGAAAGCTTGCATGTCCTAACTTCCTGTGTAAGATGTGAGCACACTCATCATGAATTGGTTTACCTATTTTTGGTTTCTTTTCCTTGTATGTATTTTTGTGATCATGAGTTATTCTACACTCATCATTGTCACTGTTACTGACATTTTCATCATCTGCTTCAATACAATCTTCCATATTTGAATCAATGTTATGTAAACATCTTTCTTTAGTTATCAGATAGGGTAGACCTCCTTTTATCATTACAGTACCTACATTTGTTTTGTTCTTTTCTATAGTTGCTTTCCCCTTTGAGAAAACTATATTGATATCAGATTCTCTGCTTAATTTTATGGCACTTAGTATGTTGTGAGGTATTTCTGGGATTAATAATACCCCCTCTATTTTCCCTAGACCAGGCAAGGTCACATTTCCTTTGCCTAGTACTTGAACCTTTTCTTGATTAGCTACCTTTATCACAAACTTATCTTCTATAAATGAAGATAATATACTTTTGTTGTTGGTGGTGTGATTTGTTGCACCAGAATCAATAAGCCAATTGTTATTCTCATCCTGCTGTGTTCTGGTGCTGTCTTGTTTATTTAGCCCATTCAGTGACCCAGATTTCCTCTCTTTTGAATTTTCTCTACCCCCTCTACCTTCTTTGTAATTTGGTGGACTTCTATATTTGTGTCTATCTGTGGAAGATTGTCTGTAATTATATTTGCTCCTATATTCTGGCCTATGTCTCTCTCTTGAGACTTTGGGGCAGTCTCTTCTACTATGTTCCCTGGATCCACAATTGTAGCATCTAAAGGCCTCATTATGTTTATCTTGAAAGACTACTTTCCTAAAAGGTTTGTGGTCTGTTTGGTTACTGGATCGATTTTTTCTTGAATTGTCTTCTGCTATCAATTTGTTAGATAGACTTTCTATGGATAAATATCCCAAATTAATGGTATCTAAGTGTGACATAAAGCTATCCCATGATGGATCAAGTGAATTGATAATAACACTTTTCATTGTTTGATCTGAAATCACTTCCCCCCTCAATTGTAGCTCAGCTCTTATTTTGTTTAGATTTATCAAATGCTCACTTATAGAAACCCCTGGTTTTACTCTAGAGGAAAAGAAATCCTTAGACATTCTTGTGGTTGTAGCTACGCTATCGCTGTGAAATAGATTAAACATGCATTGAATTATTTCTGATACAGTTAGGTTTGGTTTGATGCTATGATACATTGCAGGAGACACGCTAGATATTATTATGAAAAATGCTCTATGATGTAAACAATCTATTTTTAAAGTCCAAGGTCTTCTTGGAGGGCTAGTTATAAAGAATAGTAAATTTTCTTTCATGAAAATAACCTGAAGCTGTTGATACCACTCTTGTAAATTAATGCCATCAATTCTAAGTTTTGGGAAGTCACTGGGTAAGTTACCTACATTATTCTGTCCATTACTTACAACCTGGGGCAGTCCGTGATCTCTCAAGTGCAGGAAATTACAGAACGGCATTGGGATGCTTGCAATGAGTCTGCGCGGTTCTCTGGCCAGTTCAAGTCCTTCTGGGTCGTCTACGTAGTTTCGCACATGCGCGTTGCTCATTTCTTCTTTGGTGGCGTCGTGGAAGGTTCTCTCCCTTTCAGCTCTCTCGATCCGCTCCTCCTCAGATGAGTCGGTCTCTGGCTCGGTTTTTGGGGTTCTGGTGGTGGCGACGGTTCTTTTCTTCTTTTTGTGTGCGTTGGCATTCGATTTTGTCTGTGGTGTAGGGCGAAATCGGCATGGCTCTCTGGGCTCGGGCGTCGTCGCTTTCGAAGTCAGGATGGGAGCGTGCAGGTCTTGAGTCGCCGGTTTGATTTCTTGCTTCTTCGTAGATGTCTTGGTAATTTTCAGTCTTGGCCCAAAAGCAGCAAAAAGCGTTTTCATTGCTGATTTTACTTGAGATTTTGTTAAATCGTCTTCACTTTCTGATTTTGGATCATCTGAAGAGTTTGAGACTTCTTTCTCACTTTCTTCGTCTGATAGTGTTTTTCGCGCCAGAAATTTTGAACTGAGCGTTTTGATTGGCTCTGCTCCATTCTCTTTTGAAGTTCGTTGAAACCAAGATGGCTGCCATTCAAAATTTCGCGCGGGATCACATCTTTTCTTTTTAACAACTATTTTCTCAGTAGTCATCTCACTTACGGTTTTTTGATCTTTGGGTTTTTCTTTAATGACGTTTTTCTCTCTCGCTGCTCCGCTGTTCTTCAGCATCTCCTGGAGGTCCGCGATGAGACTTTCATCATTCTTTTGGCTTTTTAGTATCTTTAATATCTCTGACCTGAGTTCGTTATTTTCTATTTCGATTTCTTTCTGGTCATTATTTTCACTCATTAGTTCTTCTTCTTCAGTGGTGTATTCTTCGGATTCTCTCGAAATCGCATTGGTGGATTCGTTGATCATCTCTTGATCAGTTTCTATTTCTTTGCTGTAGGCTCTGGTGTTGGGCCTATCTTTCTTGGACATTTTTAATTACTTATTGAGTCAATTAACCATCCTCTGCTACCAGCTTGTTGCAATATTTTCAGGATCAGACTCAATAAAGATAATAGGAGTTAGAGCTTTAAATATATTTCTTTTTAATTATGATAGGCATTCTATATTCACTGAATATTCAAGGTAGAAGCAGCGAGAATGGTGAGGGTGGCTCCTTATATATACAAGGGGTGGAGCTAGGAATGGGAGTGGTAAGTTATGAATACATTAAAGTCCAAAGAATAAGTTAACCTCTGATGTTCCATATATACATTATTTACACATTGGAGAATAAGGCATTTACATCTGACACATAAATTTGCTTCAGCAATGAGACCATTGGAAACAGTTAAAACACTAATCTTCTCATAAACTAATTTGATAAACCAAAAATTAAAAAGTTTAATAAAATTCAAGAAAAATTACCTAAAATAGAAAGGGCCCTCCAGATGTTACTGAACTATAACTCCCGGCAGTCCAGATAAACATAGACAATGAGGATTCAGCAAAATCTGCAAGGCCAAAATCCACTTTCATCCATAGAGAAACAACTTTAGTTTCTTTCTCAGCAAGAATATCCAAAGTTGACTTCATATCATATAAAGACAATATGTAACCCTAGAATTTACACATAATATTGATCAGAACTTTTACAGTTCTTAGACAATCTGCAACAATCAATATTAATCTACCTAAAACTGAAAGATGTATTCATAATCAAAACAGAATATAATGGGTATAACAAATTCTTCATATAGAAATTCATTAAATAGCATGAATCTAATTAGCCTAATTTTCTTCGATACTTGAAATAGCATTTTTTTCCATAAAAGAGCAGCAGAATTTTGTTACCTCCCATCCAGTTTCTTGACTTAACCAACACATTACAGAAGAAACTCTGTAATTACATCTAATTTCCAACCTATTTCTGAATCAGTGTCTTTAAAATGAATTAAAATGGATTTGCTTCATTTTAAAGAGAAGACCAGGCTTTTGAATTTTGCACCCCAGAAATAAAATATTTTCTAGTTTGGGCTTTTACATCCCTGCTCAAGGATGAAATATGATACTTTCCACGTGGGAGGTGCAAAATAAGAGATTTTTAAAGAGATATTTGCAGGTAACTGGTGGGAAAAGAAGTTTGAATTCATTTTTCAAACCTTCCCTGCCCGTTACCATCGCTGTCGGTACCCACCCAACCACCTTCGCAATAAAAATAAGGTAGTTTTCAAATTACTTTCCTTATTTCTCCCCTCACTACACTGACCGAGGTACGACACAGAGGTAAGAGTGGAGTTGCCGAACCGAGGCTTGTTGTAGATGACCACAGCAGCCACTTTCCTCCTAGCTGCGTTGGCGACTTTGTCCTTCAAGTGGCAGCCTCCGTGGGCCACTAAGGCGATCCAGGACTGAGGCGGCAAGAAGGGCGCTCCAGCTTCTTTTTCTCCCGAGGAGCTTCCGGGCACCATGGGGATCTCGTATTCCCCCTTGGGGTCACAGCCCTCTACGTGGTGGGCCATTCCTCCAAAAGGGATGCCCAGTAGGCCCTGTGCGCTCTCCTTGGGCGAGCTGTTCCCATAGCGCCCGCTTTCCGCGCTGTCCCGCACTGTGTGGTTGGTGCCCGGCTCGGTGTACACCGTGCTCACCCAGGCTGTGTACCAGACCAGCGACCAGGAGACCCGCGGCCATCCCCCCGCCGCCAGGAAAAGCAGCGGCAGCATCATGCGTTGCGACAGCAGCCTCATCGCTTCCGGATGCGCAAGACGAACGGTCCGTCCAGGCAGCGTCTGAGGTGGAATGGTCTCGGCCGTTCACCTGGGACGCGAGATTCGGTGGCTTAAACCAAGCACTTCTGGATTCCCAACTGCTTTGTTTGAAGCGAGGTGAGAAGAGGCGAGACGGTGTTAAATAACAATGCCCTTTACTAGGCAAGGCCTCAGGTCATAACAACAGCAAACACCCATTACAGTAGGACGAATGAACAAGGCAACAATTTCTGTCAGGGCTGCTATTTATACAGCAGCTGTCAAACAGGTGGCAAATCACATGCACTCATTTCTCCCTCCTGCCGAGCTGTCACTTCACAGCCAATAGGCAACACTTCCGTGTTGCTGGGCAGAGGTGTGGCTACATATGCCACACTCCTCCCTCCTTGGATGGTGCATGTGTATTCCTGAAAATACGCTGGGCGCCTGCGCACCCTTCCGGATCGGCGTAATTTTGGGGCCTCGAATGATGGAGGAGGCGCTTGTTCTGGACCCTCAGGAACTACTGGGGCTGGTGATCTAGTCAAGCTAGGCGAGTCAGCCAATGGATGAAGAACAGGGTCTGCAGGTAAGCCGGGCGTCAGAAGCATTGATTGGGACAGTATGTTGTGGACATCAGCTGGCTGCGTAGTGCTTGGGTCGGCCCCACAGGGATCCCGGGAGGTGAACTGCAAGGTGTTACAGGGATGGTGTATGAACGTCCACAAAGTTGGTCTACGTGGCGCCACCAGGTATGCCCAGCATCGAGCTCTACCCTGTAAGAACAGGGTCCTGTTACTTGAACAATTTGTCCGGGTAACCATAGGGGATTTCCCCCCCCCATAGTTCTGGGCATACACCCTGTCCCCTAGTCCGAAATTTCTGATTTGGCTGGATGAGTCCAGTGGTTTATCAGTGGCATAGCTAGGGTGCAACCTATCCAGGGTGGTCCAAAGGTGCCGGCCCATTAGAAGCTCGGCCGGGTTGCGATTTGTAGTTGGGCATGGGGTGGCGTGCTGTGCCAAAAGATATTTTGTTAGTTTATCCTGCCAGTCTCCCTGCCCAAACCTGGCCAGAGCTTCCTTAACAGACCGGACGGCTTGCTCAGCCCGGCCATTGCTGGCAGGATGATAGGGTGCCACCTGGGCATGCCTAATACCCAACCCTGCCAGGAACATCTGGAAATTAGCCGAGGTGAACTGCGGCCCATTATCTGATACCACCACGTCGGGCAGGCCGTGAGTGGCAAATAGTTTGCATAGGACCCTATTTATGGCTCCTGGAGAGGTTGATGCCATGATAGTAGCCTCTACCCAGTTAGAGTATGCATCAACCAACGGACACTTATTACATCTTGCTTGCAACTCAAGACTCTGGTCGTGTTTTCCATCTCGGCGTACGATTCAGCCTCTTTAAGTCTTTCCCCATAGAGCCAGGGATGGAGAACTACTATGGCCCTTTTTACAGTCTGTGAACTTCAACTCCCAGAATTCCTGAGCCAGCCATGCCATTCAATTCTGGGAGTTGAAGTTCACAGACCGTAAAAAGGGCCGTAGTAGTTCCCCACCCCTGTCATAGAATAAGCTGGCTAGAGAAAAAAAAGGCCCTCTTTCTGGAGAAAAAGCGTGAGACTAAGTTTGGAGTCCAGAGTTAAATTTCGATGGGTGAAAGAGGCTCTATTAAAGCGAGCTGTTAAGAAGACCAGACTCGTCATGAAAGCTTTTTTATTCATTCACAGTTTTATTCGTTTAGCATTTTGGCAGCACTTTGAGCAATTAAACTAGTGTTTCTCAACCTAGGCAAATTTAAATTTAGCTGTCTGATGAATTCTAGAGTTGAAGTCCACACATATAAACTTGCCAAGGTTGATAATTACTGAATTACACTAAAATCCCTATTCCCTCCACCCTTTCAGCTTTTGATTGAAAGCTAGATTTTGTAGAAAAGTTGATTTGAGGTGTAGGAAGTTAGCACCCACCCCCCTCCTAGAAAAATGAAATATTTTAGGATATATTTAAAAGGCAGAATATTTTCCTTAAAAGAGAAGTAGAAACTCAGAGAAGCAGAAACTCAGCCCCCCACCTTTGTTAATGGGCTATTAAAGCCTGAGCCAGTCTATTCTACATAACAACGATCTACCTCCTTCAGGCAGAGCCATTTAATTGCCCCTTATTGCACCACCCACCAAGTTTCAACCAAACTTGGCACACAGATAACCTAAAAGGCTATTTATGACAGCAACCAATCAGGATTCTCTTCCTGGGCCCCAGGAAGTTCAAAGCCAGAGAGGGCATAAAACCAAGGCACGCTCAGCATCTCGCCCCCTTTTTCTGTTCAGGAACTCAAACCATGTGATCCTCTCCACCATTAAACCATCTTTCCAAGCAGTCTCCATGATTCCAGTGTCTTTTTCCCTATGTAGGAAATTAGCACCCACCCTTTTCCTAGAGGAATGAAATATTTTGGGAAATATTAAAAAGGCAGAATATTATGTTTCCCTGGATGAGAAATGGAGAAGCATGTTTTAAAGACAAAGCAACTCCCATCTTCCTGCCTCCCCACCTGCCTTTTGTCAATGGGCCAGAGGCAGAAACCCAATCCTTTGTCAAACAAATCTGCAACGCAAGAGGACCTATCTAGGACAGAAACTCACCACATGGCACCTGGGAAGATTACATCAGGCAGCAAGGCTAGCTAAGACCTGCATCCCCTGGGAGTCTGACAACCAATCAGGATACTCTTTCGGGGCCCCAGGAAGTTGAAAGCCAGAGAGAGCATAAAACCCGGGGACTCAGCTTTATCTGCCCTTTTTCTGTTCAGGAACTCAATCCATGTGATTGTGTCCACCATTAAATCATCTTTCCAAGCAGTCTCCATGTTTCCAGTGTCTTTTTCCCCACTTGGAGCTGAACCCAGAAGGATATTTCTTCCTACACCTACTTGAAGCTGAACCCAGAAGGATATTTCTTCTAACGGGCTTAATTGCAGACATAAGAATTAAATCATTTGAAAATCTTGGTACACACGTGACAACATTTTTCATCAAGCATAAATTTTTTTCCCCTCCCAACCCTTATTGAATTTTCACATTCTTAAACCAATGATAGATGTAGTATTTTTTTTTACCTCTTGAGAACAGGCCTTGCACTTTCTGTATTGAAACTGAGTGACTTCATCCTTGCTCTTGTCACATTAAAAGTTTGTAGTTAGTCTACATTAAAAGCAGGGATGAAATGCTCCCGGTTCGGACCGGCTCGGGCAAGTAGATAGCGATGGCGGTGGGCAGTTTGGAGAACTGGTAGCAAAAATCCCTGCCCCTGCCCCCCATGCCCAGCTGAGCCGTGCGATCATCAGAGCCTTTTTTTTCTTTTAAATGGCTCTGACCAGCCAAGCTCTGACGATCCCAGCTGAGTTGCCTGCTAATCAGGCAACTCAGCTTGGATCGCCAGAGCCATGTAAAAGAAAAAAACTTTTTCCTTTTAAATGGCTCTGACGATCCCTCCCCCGCCCCCCCTCAGCTTGCTTACCTTAGCTGCTGGTCGCAATGCAATCCATTGCATCAGCAAGCAACTGAATCTCCCTGCCTGCAATCAAGCAGGCAGGGAGTTGGGGACTTCAACTCCCAGAATTCCTCAGCCAGCAAAGCAAAGCTGGCTGAGGAATTCTGGGAGTTGAAGTCTACAAGTCTTAAAGTTGCCAAGGTTGGAGACCCCTGTTCTATTGGGTAAGTTTTTTTCCCCTTTGGGAGCTTTAAAAAAATAATTAATTAGGGTTTTTTTTAGTTGTTCTTTTTTTAGACCTAGCCATTTAAAGTTTAGGAAGTTTTAAATTTAGCTGCTTTTATATAAAAATAAAAATAAAAATAAAATAAAATAATATTTGTGCAGCTTTCTGAGATTTAGTGTGTTTCTGTAGTGTTTCACTCTAACTACACAAATACACAAAATCTCACAAAGCTGTATGTGGAATTTTGTGTGTGTGAAGTGTGAAAGTTGTTTGTTTGGGCTTTTTGTGGCTGTATAAGGTTCCTGCTTATTGCAGGGGCCATTTTGGGTCTAGCACAGCTGCTTTTATATTGTGGGTGAGCCAGTTGTGTTGTGTTGTGTTTTGTAGGTTAAAAAAGGGCAAAGAAGTGACATTGACTTGGCCACGCCTACCTTACCACCAAGCCACGCCCTTCCAGTCACCTTACCACCAAGCCACACCCACTAATTAAGCCACGCCCACAGAACTGGTAGCAAAAATGTTTAGATTTCACCCCTGATTAAAAGGAAGCAAGTATCAATGATTACATATGTAAAGAAATAAAATACTGCACATATGTTCAAGGCTGCATGCTTATTGTGTGTGTGTGCTTTTATGAAAAAAATACTGTAGGAAGTTAGCACCTACCCCTTTCCTAGAAGAATGAAATATTTTAGGAAATATTAAAAAGGCAGAATATTATGTTTCCCTGGATGAGAAATGGAGAAGCATGTTTTAAAGACAAAGCAACTCCCCCCCTCCTTTGTCAATGAGCCAGAGGCAGAAATCCAATCCTTTGTCAAACAAATCTACAACACAAGAGGACCCATCTAGGACAGAAACTCACCACATGGCACCTGGGAAGATTACATCAGCCAGCAAAGCTAGCTAAGACCCGCATCCCCTGGGAGTCTGACAACCAATCAGGATACTCTTTCGGGGCCCCAGGAAGTTGAAAGCCAGAGAGAGCATAAAACCCGGGAACTCAGCTTTATCTGCCCTTTTTCTGTTCAGGAACTCAATCCATGTGATCGTGTCCACCATTAAACCATCTTTCCAAGCAGTCTCCATGTTTCCAATGTCTTTTTCCCCACTTGGACCAGAACCCAGAAGGAGGATATTTCTTCCTACAATTTGGCGACCCAGATGGGACTCCAAGTTAACCTAAACAATGGACGAGGCCCAGGTAAGCCTTCCTTGCTAGCAGCAGGCCCATTGAGTCTGTGGGTATGTTTTCATGGACCTTGGCCATTTGGAACTAGGTTTTAAAGGGGTTTTAAGTGTTGAGCTCAAAGGCTGCTTGGAAAGAAAGTTAGTACCTCTAAAATTTTAATTTTAAAGCATGGAAAAGCATGGGAAATGTGCGTATGCCTGCATGTGTGTGCGAGGGCCCTTCTCCCAATCACAGCTGGATCTTGCTTCCTCTGTGCATTTCCTAGCTGCAGAAAGACCAACAGTCTGGAGAGCATGGGGGTTTTGCCAGAGCACAGGACCTTCTGTTAGGGTAGGAGGAAGTGTGTGTGTGGGATTTCACTTGGATAACAGTCTGATTCCACCTCTTTGAGCGACCTCTAGCCACACCTCTGCCTACTGCTAGCTCCACCGAGCCGTGACTGGTAGGATAGAGAAAGCAAGGGGGGGTTGCCAAACGTGGAACTTTGTGTTTGAAGGGAATGAAAGCCGAGAGAACGCAAGGAGAAAGTGGAAAAGGGGGATAAAATAAAAGAGTAAAAGAGAGTCCCTGGTGTATTCCAGAAAGCAGCCCAGTGTATTTGTGAGTATTGAGTATTGAAGTGAGGGAGGTGCTAGTACTAGCTGTAGGGGCAGTGAGGTCCTCCCGGATCCTTTTTTTGATCCAAAAACCTAGACAAATTCCCTAAATAGGAAGGGGCCCGTACTTCATCAGGGAATCAAAGTCCTTCCCAGAACCTTTTTTCTGAAAACCGTAGGAGTGGTGCCCGGCTACAGCCAAAGTGAACCTTACATTCCAAGGACCATGGGAAGCAGTAGCTCGAGGGTGGTAGGACATCCCCTGGAGGAATTGATTGTGGCCTGGGACGCCAGGTGGACACCAGTGTTACCTGGCATGAGCAAAAGGAAAGCTCGGAAATTGTGCAGAAAATGGGCTGTGCTAAGAGATAACACCGGGAGACAAATTTGGCTAAATAAAGGTACTTTAAAGAAAAGGGAAATGTATAAATAGGAATGTTGGGGCTTTTGTTTGTTTTATTTGTTTGATTGTCTCTCTGTCTTCTATGCAACCATGTGGAATTTTTGTTTAAGATTTGTGCCTTTCCTAATTTAACTGAGATTTATGGTGGGAATAATCAGTGTGTGTGTAAATCTCAGAGTTCTGCTTTCCTCTCTTTGTCTTCCTTGTTTTTATGTGTGTATGTCTAAGTCTTTGTGCGCCCTCAAGATAATTGTAACTGTAAAATGTATCTGATCCCTAGAGACAAGAATTTGAAATTGTTAGAGAAATAAAAAAAAAAAAGATTGAAGCAATGAAAAATGGAGGAGAGAGAGAAAAAAGAAAGAAAGAGCCTTTGCCCTGTATTTGTATGGCCAACAAGAACAGAGTAAAGAGAACTTTTCATTTTATTTCTGTTTTTTTCTCCTTCCCTCTCTGTATCTTAAAGTAACAACTCAAGTTTATGAGGAAACATTTTAAGTTCATTTACAAGAAAAAATTCAGTCTTGCACTCACTGTATGTGTTTAAATAGTTTTACCTGTTCATTTCTTTCCCGAAGTATGTGAATCCAGTTTTTTCTTTCTCATCTGTTGTGTCTCCATTTTGTTGAAACTGAATTATCTGTTCAGTAACTGCAATACTAATGTATTATGTACTATGTACATTTGTATGTACATTACATATGTAATATTTCTTCCTACAATACCATATAGGGATATTATGGTATACCCTCATTTATTTTTGTTTTCTTATTTTTACATGCATGCCTGCTTCTGGCACTTAATCTTGTTAACTTTTATTTTTCAATGATCTTGAATTGTATTTACAATTCTCATATTTCCAAGCCAATGTGATTACATACAGTACTACTGGAAAAAAAATGATTGGACTTAAAGATAATTGGCCGAGTTCATACATTACACCAGGCATTAATACATTAATGTATTTTATTAATAAAAGAATGGCCATTTCCATTAGTACTTTATTAACATTTTATTTTATTAACATTTAATGTTTGATAAGTGCGTTACAATGATCAAGTCATTCATAAGTGCAAATGGACAAGTAGGGCAAAACAAGCAAAATATTTTTATCCAGTTGAGGAAAATATTTTTGAAATACATTCTTTGGTTAAGTAGCAAATAAAACAATGCTTAGTTCTTCCACAGGTACTATATTACTGATTGTGTAATTTTACCCAGTTGAAATTATATTTTAAAATATATAAATTTTTCACCAGAGATACAGCAGATATAAAACATGGTTATTATGGACCTGTTTTGTTAGAAAGAGAGCTTAATGCCTGCTAGACTTTTGAAATATTAATATCAGAGATAATATAAATATATTAAAATACTGTACATGTTAAGTCTCTGATTCTGAATACCCCTTTTTATGACTGAATACATAATGATTTTACTTTGCCAATCAAAATCAACAAGATTAAGATCTCCATAGGAAATTTTACACGGCATCACTAAATCACAATTAGGGAAATGTTTAGCTGAAGAAAACCTCACTGAGGAGTTTAGCAGACATTTATTCTGAATTCTATATTTTAATAGATATTATAAAAACAAAATTGGAATCTCTTTAAGGTGGAAAGTTGTATGAGGATGGATGCATCCTTCAACTGAAGTGAGGGAAATGCCTCCACCACTGGTCCAAAAAGAATGGTTCTGAGAGATGGGCAGTTGCTAAATCTCTAAATTTGATAAATTAAATAAACAAATGAATAAATAAACAGTTCATTAGCAGGTGGCGTGGTGGCTCAGAGATTAAGACGCTGAGCTTGTCAGCTGGAAAGTCAGCTAGGTTCGAGACCTGAGTTCCACATGACAGTATGAGCTCCCGTCCTTGCCCCAGCTCCTGCCAACTTAATAGTTTGAAAGCATACAAATGCAAGTAGATCAATAGGTACCACTTCAGTGGGAAGGTAACAGTGCTCCAATGCTCCATGACTTCATGCTGGCCACATGACCATAAAAATGTCTTTGGACAGCACTGGTTCAATGGCCTATAAACAGATGAGCACTGCCCCCTATAGCTGACAATGACTAGCAGAGTAAAATTTGCAGACTCCTACCTTTAGTAGCTCTTTTATATTTCCTAAAGCTTGTAAAGTAGAAAGGACCCAAACTTTGCACATGGGAAGGCAAGGAAGCAAAATAGATTCTTCACACATTACAGATGTTTAAGGCCCCTATTTCTCTTTCAAAACTATTGAAACACCTCCCAAAATATTCTGGGCACAACTCACTTTGCCGTCAACAAACTACATAAATCCTGTGTTGCCCATATGCAAATGGCATGTACCTCAACAGGCATGTACCTCCAACAGGAACAGAAGGCATGTGTGTTGCTTTTATCTTGGCACTATGAAAGCCATATTTGTGTGAGATACCAGGAAATATGAAGACAACTCAGAAGATCATTTGACTGCCGGAGCCAGGGGAACCTTTGTCCAGGTTCACCTGGTTCGCCAATTGCGCCCCTTTTTGGACCGAGATGCCTTACAGTTACTCATGCCCTCATCACCTCTCGTTTGGACTACTGCAATGCACTTTACATGGGGCTGCCCTTGAGGAGCACTCGGAGACTTCAACTGGTGCAGAATGTGGCCACGTGGGTTGTCATGGGGGTACCTCAGTACTCCCATGTCATACCATTCCTTCGCGGTCTGCATTGGCTCCTGGTTGTCTTCCAAGTGCAATTCAAGATGCTGGTGATCACCTTTAAAGCCCTACGTGGCTTAGGACCAGAGTATTTGCGAGACCACCTCCTGCCACCGGTAGACTCCCATTGCCCGGTTCGCTCCCACAGAGTTGGCCTCCTCAGGGTACCTTCGGCCAGACAATGTCGACTGGTGACCCCCAGTCACCAGTCAACCCTCTGGAATACGTTACCCCTGGAGCTCCGGATAATCCCCGATCTCCGAACCTTCCGCCGGGCCTTGAAGACCTGGCTCTTCCAGCGGGTGGGCCTGGGTTGACCCTAAATTGATTTTAGCAGCTTTTTAAATTCTTAAATTTTAAATTTGAATTTGTATTCCCACGCTTAATCTTATTTATTGGATATTCTGATTTAATTTGTCTTTTAACTTTTGTATTTTCTGTTTCTTATTGTTGTGAGCCGCCCTGAGTCCTTCGGGAGAAGAATGGCATACAAATCCAATAAATAAATAAATAAATAAATAAATAAATAAATAAATAAATAAATAAATAAATAAATAAATAGTTAAATCACATTAAATTTGGGGCATAAATTAATATTGTGCTATTTACAATAATTATACCATTGCTAAAGATCTGTTGCATAATGCTGTATATAAAATAATTGACAATCTTTATGCGATGTTCAAAGATTTATGCTACTCTTCCAAAAGAAATATTCTCACTTCTTGATTGTAAATCACTTATTTAATGCATGATCATGCTAGATTGTTTTTGATTGTTTTAGTGTTTGGTATGATAGATCTGAATGGAATTCTTAAGAGCAACTTGATGATGTCCTTTGTTTATCACTCTAAAAATACATGATATCACACCAAAGGCACAAAAATGCATTACTTTCAATATACAGTACTAGTGAAGCACAATCAAACCAATACATGTCATTCTGTTTTACTCTGAACAACAAGGGCATGCACATTACAATATTTTACTCTTCTTCATAAATAAGAATAAAATCTATTGATCCATCTTTTGCTTGCCATATGGCATCTTAAAATAATAATTCCAGTACAGGAAAGCCATTTGAAATTTACTATGGGGGTAAGGAATTTACAAGTTTTCATTGACCTCCTCTTGGATACAAGCAAAATAAAATGGCTAAAATATATAATTTAGAGCATTTCTAGATGTAACAACCCATTATTGTCAGTTCTGATCATCATGAACATAATGTTACAGTATAAAAAGGTGATATAAATGTAATAAATCACACTATTGGGAGGTGTAGGAGAAACATGCACACTTGAAACTGGCCTGGCTCTAAAATCAATCCCACATATTAGGTGATGCAGGGATTATAAATTATATTACAGAGATTATTTAAGAATGTCTACTCTGTTCTTTATTAACTGGTCCCAAAATAAAACAAATTATCCCTTAACTTTTAAAAAGGGATTGGTTTTTGACACTGTAACATCAGCATAAAAAGGAGAATGCCTTATTGTGGGCTAGTAATATCTTCAACTTGGCTGTGTTGAAGTTGCCACATTTAATATATATGTGAGTTTTTAGGCTGACCTAGTCTGATACCCCTTCTCTATTCAGGTCTCTGGGAATTCAATGACAAAGCTTATGCTTCAATTTTTAATTAATTGTAGTATCTCATTGTGTCCAAATGACAAGGCTACACTTCCCCGAGAGACTAGATTTGTAATGTGGGAGGACTTGCTCAGTTTTAGCTGTCTTAAATTTGTAGGCATTTGATTTAAAATCTGCTACAGTGAGGAATGCTTTTTCACAATGACACACCTGTTATGCCAGCCATGACAATTTATGACCCACTAGGATTGGAGATGCTGTTTTGTGCCTTGATTGTGTCCCATCTCAACTAGTACAGTACACAATAGTGGGCAATTCTTGAAAAAATAGAACTGCAAATTAAAAATAGAACTAGTACTGCATTATACAAACGTAGTTGATAGACTGCTGTCAAGATACCAGAATCACACAATGCCTTTAGTGAAAGATCTACATTGGTTGCCAGTGCTTTAAAGTATTGAAATTGACCTTTAAATCCTAAACAGCTCAGGACTTTTCTCTCTAAGGTAGCACTTGGCCTGTTATTACCATGCATACTAAAAAGGAACCAGCAGGAATAGCCGTCTTGAAGATATTCCCACTGGTTTATCTTTCTGACATGCAGGAAATGGCCTTTTGTTTATTTCCCGGCCCTCGTAAGTTGTGGTTGGCCCCTACTCCCAGAATTAATATTTCTACTGATGCATATTTTATCAAGAATTTAATTGATAACAGCTTAAATTTTAGTGTTGGTTTTAAATTATCAGCTAGCTAATGTTACCATTTTTAACTTTTCTTGGTCACCTTGAGAACTCACAAATGTAAAATGGAGGGATACAAGTCAATAAATTGATCGATCGATCGATCAATCAATCAATCAATCAAATAAATAAGTAAGTAAGTAAGTAAATAAGTAAATAAATAATAAATAAATAAATAAATAGATTTATAAACCATTATTTAAAATTCACAGTCTATTGTTAATACTCTGTAGCTTGTTTAGACTTAAACAATAGCAGAAATACTGTATAATATTGGAAATGAAGTAAAAACTTCAGATCTCTTTTTCCTGAAGCAAGGAAGTTCTGAGAAGTAGTAAGGGTTTCATGCAATAGCTTAATATTTATGTGCAGAACAGTAACTGCCAGCTGCATTCTTAGTATATTATATGTTGGTCTGAAAATGAAGTAAAGTAAATTATCTAATCATTTCTGGAAAGTTTCAGATCTTAGTTTTTTTTTACTTTTTTCATAAAGCTATTTCTAAATTGTTCATTTAAGAGATAAATCTGTACTATGGAAAAATTAAATCTATAATATAAATTTAATTAAAATGCAACATATATAAAATATGTTATTAGATGTTTGATTAACAGCAGTTAAGCACATTAATATATCAATCATTATACCACTCATTACATATAGGTTTGCAATTTCTGCCTAGTTTTAGATTGTATTATTTCAATAGATCTTGTGAGATTCATATTTATAAAAATCCAAAAGTATTCAAAACATTTTAAGCAATAACTTAGTATGATCTGTCTCCAGGCTGTTTTAACATCTGCAGCTTTTTTTCTAATGTTCAGAAGTAATTCTGCTTCAGTTAAGATGGAGCCACATTCAAAACTTTGCACAAAAATATTAAATAAATACCTGATAACATAGTATATAAAACTCTTTGTTCTGAATTAAATATGAAAATGCTGAATTCTCATACTTAAAAGTTCAATTATGTTTTACTAGGAACTGCTTTGAAATATTCCTCCAAAGTAATAATTGTAATTCCTCCATACCAGTCCTGTAGCCATATATGTTCAATATTCATTTTCATAAAGAACCATTCATAATTGCGAGGCCATTTTCTCATTATGGGGTGCCTGGAAGAACAACCAAACAGCTAGAAATGATTGGCTGACATTATTTTATAGATTTGTCTATGACTTAGCAGCAGTTAAATATATTTAGAAAATACAAAAGTGAATATTAAACAGTGATTGTTTGAACTGCAAGATTCGTCAAATTCTATTGGCTAATCATTGCACAATGCCTCTTGAAAATGTATCCTTTTTGCTTTCCATTTTATTCAACTACATAGCCATACATTATGTCATGGCTTGGAAAGAATGGAGGGAAGGAACTCAAAACAATTATTCTTCTATTATAATATGGGATACATGCAAAGAGAAACTGTAGAATAAACAGAAGTAATGTATGTCACAGAGATTTAGGAAATTCGATGTTTGGACAGTTTAATTTTGATAATCTTAAAACTGAGCTATCTCAGAGTAAGAAAAATCTAATTTGGTCAGTTACTTTGTTATTTATTATTTCCTCATGCTAAAGTTGGTTATTACTCAGTTAACAGTGATATAATTAGGAGAACTGAATTTTTGACCAAAGGAATTTAAAAGAGCTTAATAATGGCTGGAATGAATTTTTGCTTTCAATTACAGGTAGTCTTTTACTTGCAATCATTCGTTTAGTGACTATTCAAAGTTACAATGATGCTGAATCATGCGATCCTTGCCTTTATGCAGCATCTCTGTAGTCACATGATTAAAATTCAGGCACTTGACAATTGGTATGTGTTTACAACGGTTGCAACATTTGGGGTCACATAATTGCCATTTGAGCTTCAAACGAGCAAAGTCAATGGGAGAAGCCAGAGTCACTTAACAATTGGGTGATTCATTTAACAACTGCAATGACCTTAACAACTTTGGCAAAAAAGGTCATAAAATTGGGTGCAATTCAGTTACAATTGCCTTGCTTAGCAACAGAAATTCTGGGCTCAATTGTGGTCATAAATTAAGGACTACCTAAACAATCTGATTAGTAAGCAATTTCTTCCAAAGACTTTCTGGTATTCAAGAAGACAGTGCTTACATTTTCCAATAATACTCCAAATGCTTATTTTATATTCTCTCCCCCTCTTCCAACCAGACACACTTCAGAGGATAACAGTAGATTCATACAGACCTAGAAAACAGAGCTTGCTTGACAGATTCCAGTTCTTCTGGAGGCACTGTAACCATATTTCCAATAAAAGTTAGCCTGGTACACTTTGGGTCATCAGGGTCAATAATTGTTTTTCTATAAACATAGACGTGTATAATAATTAATATCTTAATAAATCCAAAATAGAACCATTATTTATTTAGTAAAGTCCTATCCATAAGAAAGACATGTTTGCTTACAAATGCATTTATTTGCTTAATTGTTGGTGCTCACCTTTAATTGAGAAAAAAAAACAGTACTATAAATATTTTTATTTCAAATTCTGTATAATATTACAAATTCTTTTTGTCCAAATCTATGTAACAGTAACATTTATGTATGAAGATGGATTCAAAGCATCAGCTCAAGCTCAAATTTATTTTTCAAGTATTGTTGTTTCAGAATCCTTTGATGCAACCAGAAACTAGACATTTCCAGGCAGAAATTGATGCTGCTCCCAAAGTTTATTTTTGACTCAACTGTGGCTCATGATGAATTGGACATTTTCCAGGATTTTCTTTAGAAAAAAAAATATTGAGATGTCATTGCTTGCTTGCAGACACTTTCCCCGTGACAAAAACTTTTATCTTGCTTGTGAATTCCAAATCTAGATAGTCTGAAGTCCTTCAAAGTGAACCACTGTCTTATATAACCAGATATAAGATCCATATGTAATTAATACACTATCCAGGAATGGAGTGGAAAAGGAAGTTGTGCATGTAGAGCATTCCTAAGCAAGAAAAAGAAATGTGTGCTTTGTCATATGCTCCACTTTTGCTCTGCACTCAGTTTCTTAGGCAGGTTGCTTGTATGGTTGCCACCAATTTACTAGTTTATGAAATGAGTGCTTTGTGACCAGCCACATTCACTATAGTAGCCATTCAATGAATGGGCCCCTGTTTTGGACCATACTCTTCTTAGTCAGTAAAAATTCCAGATGATCTCCTTAATGGAAAAGACGGAAATTCCAATAAGATGGGTCCCACAGGAATGATGCATTTGTAGAGCTCTCTTCCAGGTGAAAGCTTATAGCTTTTTCCTTTCCTCCCAGTTACTTTCTATACCATTCAACAGAACAGTTTAGTAAAATTAGCAGATAGATTTACAGATAAGCAGGAAATGAATACAGAAAAAGGCTAGTGTTTTTATTATTAATACCACAATATTTTTGGTAAGGGCTGAGGACAGGTTACATTGGCAAGGAAGGGAAAAGAGAAGAATATAGTTTTTTTAGAAAAGGGTTATTGTAATAATTTTTCTAACGTGCTTACCATGCAGAGATGTTTAGTTCAATAAAAACTGAACTGTCACTGCATAATGTTATTAATAGAAATTATATTCTACTTAATGTAAATTAATAGAAGTAAACTAATAGAAATAAACTGATATGCTGATACTTGAAAATATATTTATTATAAGCACAGTATATTCAGTCATCTCAAAACAAAATACTTGTATATAATAAATGGATTGTAGCTTATGAGGACATAAAGTCTTACGTAATTCCAAGTGAATCATATGCTAATAATTTTTTCATCCAACCTACTACTTCCTGTTTTTTTCACTCAACAGAAATCCCCAGTTTTTTTTTTTATTTGATTTATATGCCGCCCTCCGGAGACTCAGGGCGGCTTACAATGTGCTCAGCAATAGCCTACATCCTTTTGTATATTTATACAAAGTCAGCTTATTGCCCCCACAACTGGGTCCTCAATTTACCTACCTTAGAAAGGATGGAAGGCTGAGTCAACCTTGAGCCTTGGCGAGATTCGAACCTGCAGTAATTGCAGGCAGCTGGTCTTAATAACCAGCTTAATAACAGGGTGCCTTAGACCACTCTACTACCAAGGCTCTTCCATTTTAAACTACCAAGTTTAAAATGGCTGAGAGACAAGCAACCTGCTTATTAAAATATATGTCTCTGTAACAATACTGCCAGCATAAAGTCTACTGGATTAACAATTTTATCTGCTCTGTATCTTCTCATTCACAGTTGTCAAGAAAATAAAAAGAATTACATTGATTCACTACAGCAAACTTCAAGAGTGTAGCTTATCCAACAAGGTGTTTCATGATACACTTCACCTGGTATATAGCCTTTAAAAAAAACAAGAAGCTATATGTTTCAGCCAATGAACTACTATCTCTTAATTGTGGCAGATAAACATCTAATAAATACTTTCTTACAGAAACAAACAGAAACAAATTCAACTCTGCGGAGTTGAATTCTGAGCACAAGCTTTTTAAGAGACCATGAATGTAATATTTCAGATTTATTTGGCAGAAACCATAACTGCTCACTTTAAATATTTCTACCATGTAGACATTAGATACAAGCAAAATTATGATCAGTAATAAGACTGGTAGTCTCATAATGAAAAAATAAAATATGATGGTGTTTTTCAGTAAATAGCATTAGCATTTAGACTTATATACTGCTTCACAGTACTTTACAGCCTTCTCTAAGCAGTTTACAGAGTCAGCATATTGCCCCCAACAATTTGGGTCCTCATTTTATCCACCTCGGAAGGATGGAAGGCTGAGTTAACCTTGAGCCTGGTGAGATTTGAACTGCCAAATTGCAGGCAGCTGGCAGTCAGCAGAGGTAGCCTGCAGTACTGCACTCTAATCACTGCACCATAGTTTGGCTATTAAAAAAGGGAATATATATTAAACAATTTTATAGGATTGGAGACATTTGATACCAATGCCCATCCCCTCATAATAATAAAATAATCTTTAAAAAATCTCCTTCCCCAAAAGATATTAAATTATCCTGAAAATTATATAAAATGTAAAGGATGTATGTTTGTGTTTTTATTTTTATAGTTATAACGTACACTGAAGACGGCATTTAATTTTATTGTACCATGTGCAATGACAATAAAGTAAACTAAACTCAACTAAAATGAGCTACAAAAGCTAAAGTGTCTTTTAATTTAACTAATTGACTTAATATTAAGAGTCTGGCCCAGCAGGAACTTTTAATTCATGGTTCTAATGTATAATTACCAATAGGTGGTCATATGTGGAATAGACCTTGAAATTATTATTTTTCTAATAGCGATCACTAGTTTCAAAGATGGCCATGATTATCTCTTGTGCTCTATATCATTTGTTCTTTTAGAAAGGCATTGTGGCAATAAGATCCAGGAAAACTACTTGCGCCTACCTTTTTTTTGGCTATTGTCAAGTAGGTAGCTATCTCATTTCATCTCATTCTCATTACACTTTTCAGAGAGGATGGCTACAAGCAGAAAAGTAATGAGAAAGTTAATGCTTAATTGTCACCTTCGTTGGTTGTTACATCATTTGATATCCTCCCTCTTTGTGTTTTAAACATTCCTGCCTTCAGGTACTAGATATCCATTTATCATAGAAAAATTGAAATTCAATCTTGGTAAGAGAAAAGCAACTTAAGAAGGTCGTATATGAGATAGAAAACTTGTTGGTAGAGAAAGGGCTAAGCACTTCTCATGCTGACTATTTAGGGCCACATGTTTTTGAAATTGTTGTTTCCTCGAAGAAATAGCTGTTCAATCTTTAGTCTCAAACGTGGAGAACCCCAGCGTGGTTGACTGGGGAATTGCGAGTTGAAATCCACACATCATAAAGTTGCTCATGTTGAGAAAACTGGTCAATATATTGGCATGTAATTTTGTGCCTAGATAAGAGACTCCAGGTTTGAGTTCCATCTCCTGCTGACTGCATCCATTCAAAATTATTTGACAATTTTATGTAGTAAAACAGGTTTGATGTTATCTTCTCCCAGAAAATGTTCTTCTCAGTCTTGCTTTCTGCCCTGAAATGCTCCCTCATCCAACCATTAACCAGATGTGATGCTCCTTAGTTTCCAAGAAAAGCTAAGTGCTGCCACCTGCTGAGGTAAATATGTTAATAGACCTACAAACTGTTTTCCTATTACATTTCCCCTTCTCTCCCTATCAAGATGCATAGTACCTAAAATAAGAGTTTGTTAAAATAAAACAAATCCTATAGGACTTTCCTATCCCTTAGAGCAGTGGGCCCCAACCTTTCAAGTTAAGATTTTGTTAAAATAATAAAAAAAATCCTATAGGACTTTCCTATCCCTTAGAGCAGTGATCCCCAGCCTTTCAGGCTCTGTGGACTGGTGGTGGTGGTGGTGGGGGGGGGGGGGGGGATGGTTTTGTGCAGTGGTGAGATTAAGCATTTTTTACTACTGGTTTTGTGGGCATGGCTTGGTGGGCATGGCAGGAGAAAATCTCCATTTTCTCCCCGCTCCAGGGGAAGGCTACTCTAAAATCCGCATTTCCTCCCGATCAGCTGGGACTTGGGAGGCAGAGGGGGCGGGGCCAGTCAGAGGTGGTATTTACAGGTTCTCTGAACTAGTCAAACTTTCCGCTACCGGTTCTCCAGAACTGGTCAGAACCTGCTGAATACCACCTCTGGTTTCATGTCCGTGCCCGCCACTTACACAAATGGAGCTTTGTGTCTTGCCTGCTTGCTTGCCACTTCCGTGGCCCAGTTCCCAATGGATATAGGGTCATGGACCTGGGGTTATGCACCCCCACCTTAGAGTACAAATACAATAAAATTAAACAGTCCAACATTCTGTCATAACTCCAAACATCAACCATCTGAGGTAGCAAAATGTTTTTTCAGCTTTCTGAACTCTCTGTACTATTGTATTAGTTATAGAACTGTGCATCATTGGTAATATAGATCAGTCTAAGGCAGTATTTTGAACTTCAAACTCAGCAACTGTCAGTTGTTTAAATGGGTCAAAATGGAACCCACTAGTCCTATATATTAGACTATCATCCTTTTGCTCAGATCACAATTCTTGTATCCTGCTTGGTACAATTTGCTTAAAATTTGCAAATTCATCTGCTATATCTTCATATCAGAAACTCAAGAAAAAGTAAATGACTTCATTTAAGAAGTCAACTTTGTACTTGGCAAAGATGTAGTTTTCTGTGGTAGTAAATATATGAGTCTGCAAAACTAAGTAATTGAATAAGTGGACTGCAGATAATTATGTAGCAAAGTTATTTCTAAAGCTACTGAATTGGGGAAAAATTATATTGCCATTTGCTTCTCTTTTGGAAAATATAGCTATGATTTGCTATTCTAGATACACAACTAAATCAGAGATTTTCTGATCTTATTTCTTTCACATTTTTGGATTAAATTTTGGAGTTGATGGAGTTCAAGCAACCACTTTCAACAGTGCCGAAAGGTTATGCATGCAACTCGCAAAGCAAATGAAGAGTAACAACACATTTATTGTGCTGAATTGCTATCTAGTAAGAGTTAACTGTTGAAGTTCTGAAAAAGAGTCACTTTCATCTAGTGATTAAGGCACCAGGTTAGAAAGCAGGAGACTGTGAATTCTAGTCCCACTTTAGCCAGGAAAGTCAGCTGGATGACTTTGGGCCAGTCACTCTCTCTTAGCCCAATCCACCTCACAGGGTTGTTGTGTGGGTAAAATAGGAGGAGAAAAGTGTGTTGGATACATTCACTGCCTTTAGTTATTTATAAAAATAATAAAGGTGAGATACAAAGAAATAAATATTATTATGCAGTAAAAGTTACCAAAATTATTGTACCTGCAAAAATCTCCTTCTGCTTCAGGTAATGTCAATGAAGCAATTGAATTTTTCACCAGATCAGCTACAGTTTTATCCTTTGGAGTCATGTAAAAGTAAGGAATCCCGGTGCTGTTGTCTGAGGGGCCATCACTGATAGATAAACAAGTCCCAAATGGTGCCCCCTGGATCTGAAAAAATTCAAATGATTAGCTCTTATAAAGCACCTTTGATACAAATATTTTGAAGCAAGTTTAAAGTCTAGATATCGTTATTATTTATTCTGAACTTTACTAGATATCAGAAGTGATTTGCAATTTATCATATTTAATCTGAAATACTAAGAAGGAAAAAGAAAAAGTATCTATTGAAGAGAACAGGAGTTTTATTCTGTTACTCATAGATTATTATTTTTTTTACTTTTTCTTCGATGTTTCGGATTAAAATGGGTATTTTTATCACACACTGTTTAGAAACTAATAAAAAGGAATAGTTGTAGTGCAGAAGCAAATAAATTACTGCATACTGCATACCTTCCTAGTATTCCTGGTGCTGAGCCTTGGTGGTGCAGCACACTAAAGTGCTGTTAAGTAACACCAGCTGCCTGCAATTACTGCAAATTCAAATCTCACCAGGCTCAAGGTTGACTCAGCCTTCCATCCTTTTGAGGTAGGTAAAATGAGGACCTGGATTGTGGGGGCAATAAACTGACTTTGTATAAAAAAGAACACCGCTTGGGGGGGCCGAAAGCCCTACTAAGCAGGTATATACAAAAGTCTAGAAGGTTATTGCTTAATGCATTGTAAGCCGCCCTGAGTCTCCGGAGAAGAGCGGCATATAAATTGAACCAATAAATAAATAAATAAATAAATAAATAAATAAATAAATAAATAAATAAATAAATAAATAAATAAATATTTATGATAATTTATAAAGTCATATTGTTTTGGGAGCAATAATTCTATGCAGAGAGCTAAATATTTTTAACAGAATTCCGAGCAATTTAGGGAAACTATATTTTTATTTATTCACAAAAGCCAATTACTTTTATTTATGAGTATTATACCCCATTTATTCATTGCAAGTTGAATAAAGCAGAATGGCACAAAAGTAATTAAAATCAAATAACAATGTTTTAAACAACAGTATAAAGGCAGGTACAGATACAAATGCCTTATGTATGTCGTATATGAAGAGCTACTTATAACAAGATCTGAAAGTAATATTTTACCTTGATCTTTAAATATGAATGGCAAAATATTTAATGCAAGAATTCTTTTAATGTAACTTTTCAAGATGAAACATTCCCTTGAATTGAGCTTGATCTTTGTTGTATGTATGCATATCTCTAAGAACAGTTTTTCCCCCTTTGGTGGTGGGCTAACAATAGAGTAGTAGTGGATTATATTATTTTTTGGAATTTCCAGTTTAGCCTACATCCCTGAGATTTACTGGTGATCCACCAATCAAATATTAATTACTATAGATGCAGTCTTACTTCACCTTCTGAGTTAGCCATCTGCTGTGACTTCAAAGTAATACTTGATAGAAAGAAAATCAAATTAGGATTTATTTTGGCATATATAAAGGTGTGTGGTAAGAATGTTAATAGTCAGCTATAGTAGCTTCCAGTTCTGCATGAATTTTAACAATATTGTTGTAAATAACGAAGTTATTAATTAGGGTAGTGCAGCACTTCAGTTTAGCTTACAAAGTGTTTCAGAGAATAGGGAGGTAATATCACATCATGTTATTTTTTTTTCTGGATTGCAAATTGCAATATGGGGTAACTTTGAAGCAGTGCACAGTGCTTACTAATGAATTTAAAATTTGAGGGCAAAGTAAATTGCTTATGAATCACAAACAAAATGCTGACTTGAGCTGTGACCAGGAGAAATCCTAACTTTTTCTTTTCTCCTTTGAAGCATAATCCCTATTTTTCCTTGGGCTGTATCCAAAAATGTTGCTATACTTCTCTTACTTTCAAAGAGAGTTTGCTCTGGGACAAATCAGACAGCATTTTAAATAAACATTGGACTTGTTTGGTCCTGTGGGGATAATTGTGAATTACAGCATGTTCTTTGGCTTTTGACTTATATGTTATAAAAGGCATACACAACAGGCATGTTCATAACACAGTCCTATTAAAAATATTGCAAGGACAGAAGCAACAACAATTAAAACTTCATCATTCAAGCATGAAATTTATAGGGCTGAATTATAAGCTTCCATTGGGCAAAAGAGAAAATGTTATCAATTACTTTTGTTAGCAAGCAGACCTCCCCAATCAAACACTTCCTCACTACCCTAGATTACAATTTCTATCATTCAGAGGCAGAGTGCTATCAAGGAATGAAAAGGACTATCCTGCCTGGCTTTTCATGATCAGGTCAGGTGAGCTGGTTGGTGACACCTGCTCAGATACCTACATGGAATAAGTTAGATTACAGGTTGTTGTGGCTGTTATATCTGTAGCAAATTATACTTTGCTTAATTTCTTTAGATCCTCAAAACATGTAATTTCTTATTTTCTTTTTAAGTTAAAATTCATCCAGGTCATCTCATTCATAGCGTTAATTTCTGTGAGCCAATTTATGAATCATATATTTTATATCGCATTATTAAAATAGTTAAATAGGAGGTAGATGGCACAACTGATAAATGACTTCATAACCAGTTGATTGACCCTATCCAGAGAATACTCATAAATGATTCTGTGTCAATTTGCAGAACAGTATAAAATAAATGCTATTCAACATTTTAATTAATGACCTGGGTGAAGCAATTGAGGGGACAATTATCTGCTATGCAGATGTTCCCAAACTAAGAGGCTTAATACTTTGGAAGAGATGGAGAAAATTCTAAGTGATGTACATAGCCTTGATATTTCTCATGGAAAGCCAGTATATGAAAAGGTATATTTATAAATTTAAAGTAGGATAAGATAAAGATTAGAATTATATGGACAAGAGATAAATTCCTTGTATGTCCAATCACACTTGGCCAATAAAGAATTCTATTCTATATGAATTTCAGGTATGCCCAATGTAAAAATGAAGTGCATATTTTAAAAAATGACATATATTGGAAACTGAAGTCACAATTGACTCTTCTTTCACAATTCAATTACAGGAAGCATCTTGAACATCATGGAGATGTGATATTTGATTTCAGAATTAAATGTGTAACTTTATTGAAATGCTATAGGTATATCATTGGATTTTGTGCATTCCAGTCAAGTTTTCACTCCTGCAGATTTCTTAAGAAGATTTCAGGAGTGGTTTACCATTGGTTTCTTCCTAGGGCTGAAAAAAAGAGTGACTGGTCCAACATCACTGAGATGCCTTTACACCTGAGCTGGGACAAGAATTCCTAGTCTTTGGGTCTCTAACCTGGTGCCTTATAACCACTACAACAAACTGAATCTCATTGTTGAAATAATCATGTATAAAAGGCTCTTCTGGAAAGTTCTTACATACAGTATGCCTAGACTCCAAGTTATAAGAAGAGTAAACATGCAAACACACATTTCATTGTTGGAGTAGCAATTCTTAAAAGTGCATTTAAATTATTTCAAACTTGGCTTTTCTTTTCCCATTTATCACAGCCAGTTTGAAATTACTACATTACAAGCATCTTCTGGCACCATTGTTAGTGAATTGGAATTATCAGGATTCTTTAAGTAATGAGGGGAAAATACATTTCAATGTTAGTGTTGGACTAGTAAATTTTAAGTAAAGTACAATACATAAATGAAAACTTCATGCAATTGTTAATAATTCGGTCCCTATATTTAAATTGTAAAAAAACAAAGACCAAATTTGAATCTGTCTATTACAATTGCAACAATTATCCGACATTATTGGAGATTGGACACATTTTTCTTCTGATTGATTGGTTTCGGATTTTTCCCCCTCTTTGTATCCAGGTTGCAGGTGTCGCTAAAGAGGCAAAATCGTCCTCCTGTTTTTCAGGGCTGGGGAAGGAAGCCCATTAAACCACCTCATTCAAGCCACTATTCAACTGTGGTGGATTTGTCCCCAAATGACAACCGCGTGGCTCCATAGAGCCAGTGCGTGGCCGGACAGACCTGAATGGCAGCAACTAGGCTGGAAAAGAGGACCACAGCAGCGCTGTTGCAGAGGAGCGCTCGGAGGGAGAAAACGCAAACGCTCCTTTCCCGGCTGCTACCAGACAGGTTTACGGTGGTGGTACCTTTTCTTGAGTTGATGTCGTGGCCAAGAAGCCCCAGCCGTGGCGATGCATCAGAAACCGGGCCGTTCTGGCTGCTTGCTCCAGAGGAAGCGCTGGGCTGTCTGCTCCTTTGGAGCTCTCCTTCCGGTAAGAAAACATCCGCGACGGCGAAGAGATTTGCTTCGATCTCCCCGTTCCCGGCCGGGTTCGCATTTCCTCTTCTTCTTTGTACACCGAGGCCGGGTAGCTCTGCTTCCAAATGCTGCTGGTGTCTTCAAGGAGGGCGGGGAGAGCCTCTTCGTTGGAGGAGCTGTCCAGCTCTTCTTCCACCTCGTTGGGCACCGACCAGGAGACCGAATTCACGATCACGTACCCGCAAGCCGGAGCCAGGGCCAAGCTGCCCCAGAGGGCCCAGGAAAGCCAGGAGACGCATAGAGCTCTTCCCCGCAATTTGATCTCCGAGCAGGACCCGGGCATTTTGGGCCAAGACGCTGAGCTTGGCAATTGAGCGCAAAGATGCCGGAAGGTTTTGGCTGTGGGAGCGGCGCCGCCCTGTGGCCAACACTCGCCGAACTCCGAGCCCGTGACGACGGTTTCTTTTCGTCTGCCTGCCTGCCTGCCTCCGCTGCGTTTTCGTTTCCTTGGTTCAACGTTACCCTTTGGTTAAGGAGCCTTGTGGCGTAATCAGTAATAATTTCCCCCTGATATTATCAGGACATCGGCAGTGTGATAGATTTCAAAAAAGGTTTGCCACGAAAAATAAATTTAAAAAACACATGAACAACATACCTAATATAGGTATTTTTTAATTGATTATGTGCAGTCAAGAGGGTGTCCAGGCTTACCGACCACATGATCCTCCCCGAATAATATATGGAGTTAGCGCATATAAAGAGTAGGTGGTGTAAATATCGGATTTTCTCTGGACTCTTTCTTCTGTTTGAGGAGAAGCATGAAGGTGTACCTCCCTTGTGGTGATGCAGAATCCAAAGGAGGTGTAAAGAACCTTCTACGGATAGTCTTTAGTTAATGATCGTTTATTCAGTGACTGTTCGAAGTTATGACAGTTCTGAACAGGAACTGTTCCTCAAAATTGTGACTGTTGCAGCATTCAGTGATCACACGACCATCATTTGCACTTTCTTTACTAACTGCCTACAAACAATGTCAATGGAGTTGTACATGGCACTCACGTGATGTCACGCCTAATGATTGCACAGGATTCGGCCAACAATGGCAACTGGACTGCTGGAATTGCTACCACAAGACAGCTCCATCACATGAAGGCACATCTTATAGCCTTGTCACTTAATTTCTGGTCCAGTCATTTTAAACCAAGGGGCAATATATGATTACATTCTTACAATAAATCCACCTTTTCTAAAATTTCATTGTTCATTTATGTTCACTTTGGTGTTTTAATTTTTAAGGGAGGAGTATACGTTAGGATTAAACTAAAGGAGGTACAATGGCAAAATATTTAGGAATCCCTGTCCTATGTATGTACAAAAAGAGAAATACAGTTGACTATGTGAATGAAGCCAGAGCTTAATTTTAGTTATTGACCAAAACATTCAGCTGAAGCCAAATTGTGCAATATTATTCTCGGTGGTGCAGCGGACTAAGTGCTGTTAAGTGCTAGCACTTAGCTGCCAGCTGCCTGCGATTAGTGCGAGTTCAAATTTCACCAGGCTCAAGGTTGACTCAGCCTTCCATCCTTTCGAGGTAGGTAAAATGAGGACCCAGATTGTGGGGGCAATACGCCAACTTTGTATAGAACAACACTGCTTAGGGCCCCCAGAAAGCCCTAATAAGCAGGTATATACAAAAAAGTATGCAGGCTATTGCTATAATGCATTGTAAGCCACCCTGAATCTACAGAGAAGGGCGGCATATAAATTGGACTAATAAATAAACTAATAAATAATATTCCATATATCTAACATCGGATGATAAATAAATCCTCTTATCTAACATGTCATTCATATGCGACTGACTGTCATTCATATAAGACTGTGGTGATGCCATCATTTGTTTTCTTTTGCAGGACCTTTGCAAGAGTTCCTAATCGGGTAATGCATTGAGATATCCTGTAAAAACATGTTAAATATATTAATACCATATATATCTTTGGCAAGAAAAGACAAGCTGAAGACAGTCTACGGGATGAAGCATAAAACACAAACACATTTCATGTTTCCACTCTGTAAATTGCACTGCAATCAAGAAGGCTGTGCAGCAATCTAGTTTCTAAGAGAAAAAGATTATTCAAATCACCTGTGGACATTCAGGTGTGTCTGTTGGGAACTTTTGGAATAATCTGTACTTTCTCTTGTGGGTGCCAGAAGATGCTCAAAATAATTTTTCCCCTACCGAATCTGGATTGCTCCATCACTGACTGTTGAACATCAAAGGACCTGCTCTGATTGGATGGATAAAAGAGGCAGGAGTTTTTCAAAGCTGGTACAAACTTTATGAAATGTCTTCTAGAAAAAACCTCTTCCCTTGATCCCAATTTAATTGAGCAGCTCAAGAATACTTTTCATTCTTTTCATTCTTTAAAGTTACATTAATGTAAGAGATCCAGAGCCGTTTTAGACTAGAGTAGATAGAATATAGAAAAATAAATAAATAAATCCCTAAAATTGAGATGGAAGTAAATTTGTTTGAAGAATGAATATTTTATCAGAAATAGGCTATATTTAATGATGTACTAAGACCATTTTTATTTTTTATGTATTTTAAGTCTGATATCAATGCTGCCTGATATATTTGTGTCGCTGTTTCTATTCAAGCTCAGTCTGTTTGAATCTTTTTCATCTTATGAACTTCCCAGCAAGTTATATCTTATACTAAATTTCTTTGGGGAGAGGCTATTAACAAATTTAAAAGCAGTGTTCCCTTTGATGACCTCCTCCTCCTCCTTCTTCTTTATTTGGCCTTTATAGGGTTTATTTATTGCCATTATTAATCACATAGTCATACAGATGTTTAGACTGGATCTGGCATTTTTATCCATTTATTGAATCCTTTCTAGGAGAGGCAGATGTTGTTGGTGGCATTAAAGATATCATCTCAGAAGGTAAGCTGTCGCAAGTAAAGCTGCCTTCTGCAATTGATATTTTGTTCATTGTCATTGAATTAGAGCATATAACTACTGGCACAAAGTCAATGAAATGGAGACTGATAGACTCCCCAAGTTATGTCTACTAGAGCAAATAAAATTGCAATCACAAATCTCCTGGATCATCAAACTAACAAATTTTGTAAGAAACTGTGGCCTTCCTGTCTCTTGCGTAACAGGAGCACAATTTTAAAAAAAGAGCTGCCCAAAGAATTAAGGATATAGAAGCACAAAATAATGCAGCTATCGTTAGTAAGGTGGATAACATGAAATGGCTGAGCAAATAGAAACACACTTTTCAAATAGACAGCTATTTGAAGTTACAACTGCCAAAACATCTTACAGAGATATTTATGGGAGCGAGATTCGAACAGCTTGACCCAGTGGTGGGTTGCCCCCGGTTTGCACTGGTTCTATAGAACCGGTAGTAAAACCGGTGGGAGGCTCTGCCCACCGACCCCGATGTCATCAAAACACTTCTGCGCATGTGCAGAAGTTTCTGTGCTTGCGCAGAAGAGTGTTCATGTGGCCCCACTGCGAACCGGTAGTAAAGGTAAGTAGAGCCCACCCCTGGCTTGACCCAATGGTTAGATATGGGAGATTCTATTCTACACCCTACAATGGACATCTCTGCATTTGCAGAGTGGCAGAGGTAGAAGACCTGGCTCACCTCCTATTTGATTGTTGCCTGTATTAGAGGGTGAGAGACAGGTATCTTGATCTATATACCAATGAATGACCCATTGGGATCCCCATATAAAAACAACTTAACTTATGTGCGGCCAGAATATGAAAATAACATTTAACACAGCATAGTACTTAAGTAAAATGGTTCGATTGAGATCGGCATATGTGGGACTAATTGGGGTAGACTGTAGAGGTGATACTGAATATAATTTTTATCAATTGATATTTTGTTCCATGCCATTGGTGCTTAAATGATGCTCCAGATCAGCAGTGAAATCCATTTACCTTTGCTACCGGGTTGGGAACCGGAGCACGCGGGAGGACGCACTTCGTGCACATGTGCCTTCTGTCTATGCGCAGAGAGTCAAAAATGAGAAGTAGTGGACAGACCTTCCCACTGCCGGTGCTACCGGTTCATGTGAGCCGGATAGATCCAGCAGGATTTCATCGCTGCTCCAGATGTTTTGGAATTGAACCTGGTGGCTATTGCCATTGCCATCTTTGCTTTCTTTTGTCACAGTCATCCTACTTCTATTTGCAGGTCTTTGCATTCTATGGTGATGCAGTGGTTAGAATGCAGTGTTGCAGGCAAACTCTGCTTATAGCCTGGAATTCGATCCTGATGGAGCTCAAGGTTTACTCAGCCTTCCATCTTTCCAAGGTTGGTAAAATGAAGACCCAAATTGCTGGGGGCAGTTTGCTGACATTGTAAACTACTCAGAGAATACTTTAAAGCACTATGGAGCAGTATATAAATTTAAGTGCTATTGCTATTGTGTTTTCTGACCACATTTTCTAGTTCTTTCTCTTCTGATGTCTCCAGGTGCTGCAATTCAGAGTTTTTTTGTCTTTCCTATCAACAATTGTTATCATTATTATTTGCAAGTAAAACTATATATTATATGAGTCCTATCTATTTTTACATGCCAGTTTGAGGATAACAATACCAGGTAACAAAGTTTCCAGTAGAAGATGAGAAGTGGCAGCAATATTTACCAAGCAGCTACTGTGTTTCTCCAAAAATAAGATCTCCCGGATAATAAGCCCAATTGGGTTTTTGAGCACATGCACGAAAATAAGCCCTCCCCCGAAAATAAGCCCTCCTCCTAAAATAAGCCCTCCCCAAAAATATTTAAATGCATGTGCAACTGGTCCCCATCATTTCCTCTGCTTAGGGTTAGGGAGACAGAGATGGAAATCAGGTAAGATGGCAAGAGGAGCCCTGTCTTGCTCCATGTGCCCCAAAATAATAAGACCTCCCCGAAAATAAGGCCAAGTGCTTATTTCAGGGTTCAAAAATATATAAGACAGGGTCTTATTTTCGGGGGAAAATGGTACATCAAGGCCAGAAAGCAGACCAGGAGTAGACCAAGAATCTGTTCCTAGGAGAAGAGATAGGTCTGACATCTCCAATCTTTTATTCTATGAGCTCAGCCCTGCCACATCACTGATCTGGTGTGCTTTGTACAAATACTAAACACATAGGTCCTATTTAGCATGGCTTCTACTTCATGTATTTATTTTTGTTCTCTGCAAATCTCTAACCCTTCGTTTCATATTAAAAATGTTTCTTAAAAGCTTATTAGCATTCCATAGCTACCATTCTTTGGAATTAATCTTTTTTAAAAAATTAAGGTTCTGAATTACATGAACTACAGTTGTTCATATATTCCATGCAACTTTACATGCATGCCTAATTGTTGGAGTAACTCTTGAATTCTGTTGTTGATTCCTGTGCTCCTCAGTACAGTACATCCAGCTGACAATTTCATCTTTGTTCCTCTATTGTGGAGGAAGAAGTGGTGGTGCAGCGGTTAGAATGCAGGATTGCAGACTAACTCTGCCCACAGCCAGGAGTTTGATCCTGACTAGCTCAATGTTGACTCATGTTAACTTCCATCCTTCTGAGATTGGTAAAATAGGACCCAGATTGTTGGGGGCAGTATGGTGACATTGTAAACCACTCAGAGAGTACTTTAAAGCACTATGGAGAAGTATATAAGCCTAAGTGCTATTGCTAGTGCCTTTTCTGACCACATCATCTATCATTTTTCTTCCTGAAGAAAATCCATTAAGATCAGACATCTGTATATCACAAGGTTGATTGTCATAGGACTGCTATGATAAGAAGAATCCTTATCCGAATCGGAATTGCTCAGGATTGATAATTCTTGAAAAGTTATGAGTATGTGTGTGTGTGTGTATATATATATATATATATATATATATATATATATATATATATATATATATATATATATATATATATATATATATATATATGAGAATAACTTAGTTGAAAACAATATGCTGCGGGATCACAGCACAATATGTGCAGAAAACCTACATAAGCAAATAAATAACATGTAGTTCAGTAAAATAAAAGAAACTATAGTTGGAACAACTTCTGAAAAGTATTGTGGGTGATTGTTTCACAAATATAAGGCCTTTTTCTACATATGGAATAAGTTCATTCAGAAGATATCTTCCTGTTCTGTTTGCTCCTTACATGAAGATATCTCCTGAGTTGCTCCTCCTCAAAATAACAATAGCAATTAAGCACTTAAACTTATATACAGTTTCATAGTGCTTTACAGCCCTCTCTAAGTGGTTTACCAAGTCAGCATATTGCCCCTAACGATCTGGGTCCTCATTTTACTTACTTTGCTAGGAAGGAAGCCTGAGTCAACTTTGAGCTGGTCAGAATCGAACTGCTGACAGTCAGCAGAGTCAGCCTGCAGTACTGCAGTCTAACCTCTGCGCCAGTTCAGCTCATGAAATGGGGGACGAGGCCCAAGAAACAAGTTTTTTCAATAACTGGTCCATCTCTGTGAAATTTAACACCTCCTGAAAACTATATGGATCTCCACATATTATCTTCATGTATAGCTAGTAATTTAAGAGACTATTTAGAAATCAAAAACCACAAGGTGCATTGCTTTTAATTCATATATGTGTTTAGTCACAACTTGTTATAATGATTATTGTTAGTTTCATTAGCCACCTAAATTCTCCTTTAATTCAAAATACCCAAAGGAGAGGGCCTGTTACTTAATATTACTCATGATTTAGGGACTGAATATATTATATGAGTCCAAACCAGTGGTGGGATTCAGCCAGTTCGCACCACTTCGGGAGAACCGGTTGTTAACTTTCTGAGCAGTTTGACAAACTGGCTGTTGGAAGAAATTATTAGGACAGAGAACTGGTTGTTAAATTACTTGATCCAAACTATAACATGTGGAGGAAAATAAAATAGTGTAGACCACTTCAAAACTCCTGTTACAGCAAGAATTTCCATAAAGAATGTAAATATAGCAAAGTGGAAACATCAAGCACTTCCTCAGAGGTTCCAAAGAGTCATTGTATTAGTGAGATGGTCACTATAGAAAACAAACAAACAAACAAACAAACAAACAAACAAACAAACAAACAATCCAATGTTAATCACCCAAAGAAACATGGTGCTGTTAATTGATTAAGTGTCTGAACACAGAATGAAGCCCATCCTCACTCATGGAAACATTTCCCATCCAACTTATCTATTATGGAGGAGGGAGTGTTAGGTGCATTCAGCTTTAATTCCAACAGGACAGGGATGACATAAATAAGATATTAGAGAACAGAATACAAAACATTATATTGTGATATAAAGTACACCTGGAGAAGGAGTGGGAATTCTCAGCAAGAATACCAAAGTTTCCCAGGGAGGGAGCAGTATATTCCAGAGACAGGACCAATATAAGAGACTATGCAATTCTGAACTGGATGGGGGAGAGAAGAAAAGGTTGAGGGTAGCCATACCCTAGAATCTCTTTGTAATTTACAAGATAAAATTGAAAACTTTGGTGAAAAAACTTGATAAAATTACCAGGGTTTCAAATCAACTTAAAGAGGATACCCAGATGCACATGACTTCAGCCAAGCCAGACTTAAAATTGGATCGATTGGAATCTAAGTCATTGTTGGAGATCTGAAGAAGAAAATGGCTGGAAAGCAGAAGGCATGTTTCAGAAGGCTGAAACATGAATTTTATAGACTTAAAATTGACAGGTTGGATGAGTGATGAACTGAACTGTCTTAAGAAGATTGATGGAGATTGGAGAATGTATTTATTATATATAACTAGAAACAATTTGACTGGACTTTCCTGGGACAATAGATCAGTTTTGGAAAATGGATTTGTCGCCTGGCAGTATCTTAACTAGTCAAAAACTGACAAGAGATTCTGTATTTTGGTTTGCAGAGAGTCTTTCTGAACAATGGGTGCAGTGGAGATATCTTATAAAGAAAAGAACTAGCGGTGACATGATATTAATCTTCCAATATTTGAGGGGGTCTCACAGAGAAGAGGGCGGTCAACCTATTCTCAAAAGCACCTGACGGTAGAACAAGAAGTAATGGATGAAATCTAGAATTAAGAAGAAATTTCCTGACAGTGAAAACAACTAACCAATGAAGTGGTTTGCCTCCAGAGGTTGTGGTACTTCATCACTAGAGGTTCTTAGGAAACGATTGGACAGCCATTTGTCTGGAATGATATAGGGTCTCCTGCTGGAGCATGGAGTTGAGCTAGAAGATCTCCAAGATCCTTCCAACTCTGTTATTATGCATTGCCTGGAATTAACTGGTCTGCTCCTCCCCAACCAGATGCAAACAGCCTTGAGGCACTGAGTTAGTGGATTGACAGCTTCATCTGCACAGCCTGGGATTGAGAAGTGGAGCTGGGTATTATCTGCATACTGCTAACAGAAAATCTAGCTGGCTTTTCAAAATGCTACAAGGTTAGAACATAGTTGATAAGATAAGATCAGAATGCTTCAGGTAAGAAGAAAAACCATCCAGTTATGTGAGTTTGCAGCTCTGCCTCAATGTGTTACATGCCACTATTTAGTGCTCTTAAATATTGTCTTAAGATAAGGCAGAGACATCACTAAATAATCAACCAACACTAAATAATTAACCATCACTAAATAATCAACCAACAAACTCTTGAACTAATTCTTTCAGGCACCCAATAGGAAGAAAATGCTTTGAAATGAAATGAAAGCTCAAAGGCACATTTTCTATCCATTTGCCTATTAGAACAAGATGTACCATAATTAGCAAACAAAGAGTTACTACTCCCTTAGTAGAAGAGTTCGCTGTTGCATAATTTGAATTGCAACAAATTAGTCAAAATGCATGTGAGTATATATGCATTACTGTGCAAATTTATAGGAAAAACCCTTAAACGTCTCCACATGAATTCTGAAAAGATCTTCACTTCTGAACTCGTATTTTTAACAAAAGATCAACAGACTTAGGTACATTGAGGGAGAGACCCTTGCCACAAAAATATTTTAAAAATGCACACCAGCCTCTTCTGAAGATGTGGAGTTTGGAGTCCAAAGAACAGGTAAAAAGAGGACGGTGGCCATCTAAAAAAATTGGCAGTGTCTCACTTGGGAGATGGAAAGAAATGAAAAGGAACTGAAGAAGGCTAAGAAAGTATTCAGAGTTGAACACATAATAATACGACTGAGGAGATTCAGGTTCATGGGGTTGTTGTGGG